GACTTAAAATTTCCTTGAATTAGTTAACTGAAATGACTAAGAATGTTTCCCTGAACAAAATAACCTTATCTGAAAGTGTTAGGTGTGCTGACCATATGAGACCAAGCAACCAAAGGAAAACAAGTACTGTTCTATTTGTCTAACTGATACAGTGATTTGGTTGAATCATCGTGAAGTAAAACACTATGTAATGAGATACGAATATAAGGAAATTACTCCTAGGTAAGAAGGGACCCAATACTTGCTTCTCTCCTTTCTAATCTCTCCCAAGGACAAATGCATTTAATTAAAATTTAAAATATTACCTCTAGGCCTACTAAAATCTGATTCCAAAGATTCGATCTCCTCAAGTGGGGCAACCCAACCTATTACCTAAGAGCCATTACTCAGGTATGTCAGTGTGTACCTTCCCCACCCTTAGGGATAAATCATTATTGGTCTAAATCAATCTCTGTAACACCATTCCTTCATGCCAGCTGTTGGTTTAGGGCTGGGCATGATTCACTTCTCACCAATGAAATCTGTGGGCAAGGCTGTTGGGGACCACTGGATGATATTCCTCCCCCCTCACCCCCCAAAAAGAGGCAAGAACCCTCTTCTTTTAAAAAACATTTATTTAATTTAAAAATTTTAATTTTTTAAAACAATTTTGCAGTACCTTTATTCTTTTTTTAAATTTTTTTAATGTTTTTATTTTTTTTTGAGAGAGGGAGACACAGCCGAGTAGCGGATGGGCAGACAGAGAGGGAGACACAGAATCTGAAGGAGGCTCCGGGCTCTGAGCTGTCAGCACAGAGCCCGACGTGGGGCTCGAACTCACGAACCATGAGATCATGACCTGAGCCGAAGTTGGATGCCCAACTGACTGAGCCACCCAGGTGCTCAAAATTTTTAATTTTTAAAATTGCACCTATCTATTTATTTAGTTACTATTTATTTTTCTTCTCTTCTTTATGTCTTTAAACTGTGTATCTGTGTGTGTTTGGGTGGGGAGGGGATGGGGCCAAGGATGACGACTGTGTTTCTTGGAACTCTAGCAGCCATCATTTACCATGAAGAAAAAGACAAAATTAGCTCATGGAAAGCAAACTAAATCTTGATATCATTGGGCTACGGAACAAACCCTGGATCCAATTACCTCCACACACCTTGTGTAAGAAAAGTAAATTTGTATCTTTGAAGACAATTTTAGCTGAATTTCCTATTACCTGCAGCCAAAAGCAGCCTAACCAATACAACAGGTGATTTTGATGCAAAGCCAGTTCAGAGAAGCTCTGATGAGCAGTAATGGGAACCTTTGGCTCATATGTGTTTCCCTAGCTTCTTGACATGGTGCAAAATCTTCATGGAGGATGAACAATCAGAATACTGCCTCTGTGTTGCTATTTATCAAAAATATTCAGAAAAGAATATTTAAGTAGCTAAAAAAAAATCAGTGCCAAGGTTTTTAGTGCCATTCTTTTAGTCAATAGAGATTACAGAGATTGTAAGGTTATATATTTTTCCTTTCCTATCCCTGAAGTTTGGTTGTAATATTTGAATAGTGAATAATAACAAGTTGGGCTTATAAACATTTGATGGTTTTCTAAATGTCTATTCATGGAGCAATTACAACCACAACAAAACAGCACTACTATTACCACCTGAGGTTTCATTTTTTGCTTTTTCTATCTGGTAAAATTCTACTAGTCATTCAAGATCTCACTCAAATGTCACCTTCTCAATTAGTATTTTTTAACTTCATGTAGACTAACTCTGTACCTCTTTTTTCTCTCTGTGGAGTCATTCATTCATTTATTTAACAAACATCTATTAAACTCTTGCCAGATTTTAGCCCTTGTTCCAGGGATTCAAGAATGAACAGTCTGAGGGATGAAAGATACAGCATAGAGAATACAGTCAATGGGATTACAATAATGTTGTACAGTGACAGATATAGCCACACTTGTTGTGAGCATAGCATGACATAGAGACTTGTTGAATCACCATGTTGTACACCTGAGACTAACATAACATTGTGTGTAAACTATACTTCAATAAAAAAAACACACACAAAAAAGTGAACAGTCTGACATAGTTCCCACACTCAAAGGCTGTAACGTAGTCAGAGAATGATAGCTCATTCCTTAAACAACCATAGTAAAGGGTGGTAAGTTTCGATATTAGGCACATGAGATAACAACTCTATCCCTTTACAGTTGGTGAAGTTCATCAGACTTTTACTGATTTTCTGTGGTGTGTAAAGCACAAGAGATACAAAGATTACTGAGATGCAGTCTATTCTTGAGGGACGGAAGGAGACTGATACATGTTCATCAAACCAGTTTCCTGTGCGGTCTGGGCACACAGATAGTAGACATTTCCCAGTCTCCCTTACATGTTAGTGTGGCAAGTCATTGAGGTGTGGCCAATGGGATGTGAGCATAAGTAATGTCTGCCACTTCCATTTTTTACCTATAAGAAACTTTCATGCAATCTACAACATACCTCCCTCTACAACATACCCTGTCTAACGTCTGAAAACTAAGAACTTTTAAGGTTTTAGGGGATGACAAAGCCATAATATAAAGACTTTGGGTTCCTCACTGAGTAGAATGACACCCACTGAACACCTGATTGGACTTTACCTGAGTAGAAATAAGCCTCTACTATGTTAAGGTACTGAGATTTTGGAGTTTATCTGTTATAACAGATAGTTACGGCAACTGCTGAGGGCAGAGCCCAAATGAAAGCATTCACATCATTGCAAGCCCCTGAATCTAATCTCTTGGTTTCATTTCCCTTCTAAAGAAATGGAAGAGATTAGGGGATCCTGGGTGGCTCAGTCTATTTAGTGTTCAACTCTTGATTTTGGCTCAGGTCATGATCCCAGGGTTGTGGGATCAAGATTCTCTCTCCCTCTGCCCCTCTCCCCTGCTCACGCACGTGCTTTCTCTCACTCTCTCTCAAAAAAAAAAAAAAAAAAAAAAAAAAAAAAAAAGGAAATGGAACGGATTAGGTTTATATGACTCTTAGAGGCCACATAGCAAACATATTCATCAGTCAGTGCAGAACATCAAAACACTTCAGGTATTTTAAGCAGGAAGAGGTTTTACACAGGGAATTAAGTGAATTGTTTAAAGGCTAGAGACTGTTGAAAGGGTTAGAAGAGTAGGTTCTAGATTGGGCCTCCGGGAATGACTTCTAGAACAGTAGTAAATGAACTGTTGAGGAATGTACTATTTTTGCTACAATCAGAAGGCCCCACAAGGACTACAGAGTTCAAGGACACCATTGTAGCTATGAGTCCGAGAAGCTGGGATCTGGAAGCTGCCTGGGCAGGGAACACAGACTATGTTCACCACTTCCCTCAGTTGCTTCTTGATGGCCACAGAGCTGGTGATTCAATATGATGATGCTGAGTCTGGCTGTCACCACTGTTGTAAGTCCCTCCCCACACCCACAGTTGTGGAGACTAGGACTGGCAAATCCTGGACCTTCCTTGCCAAGAGAAAACAGCAAAAAGTAGCAAGGAGATGGCCTCTGTCTCACCTCTGCCTTCAAAAGCTCAGACAAGTTCATCTACTTGCCAGACACTAATGTTACATCTAGAACTTTGGCTGGATTGGAGTCTAAGGAAGTGTTTTTAGCTCTCCAGTGTCTCCTATAAAATAAGGCATGCTGGAAGCAGGTAGGGATCGATATGAGTGCCAACCTTCTATATCCAGCACAGCAACTTTTGGAGTAGACTCCAAGACAGACCTGTATCACTGAGTTCTTCCCATTTTTTCAGAAATCCTTTAAAAAAAAGGGCAAGGGACATCTGGGTGGCTCAGTCAGGTTAAGCATCTGACTTCGGTTCAGGTCATGATCTCATGGTACATGAGTTCGAGCCCCGCGTCGGGCTCTGTGCTGACAGCTCAGAGCTTGGAGCCTGCTTCAGCTTCTATGTCTCCCTCTCTTTCTGCCCCTCCCCTCCTCACACTCTGTCTCTCTCTCTCAAGAATAAACAAACATTATGGGGCGTCTGGGTGCCTCAGTTGGTTGAGCATCCGACTTCCACTCAGGTCATGATCTCACACTCCATGAGTTCGAGCCCCGCGTCGGGCTCTGTGCTGACAGCTCAGAGCTTGGGTGGATCCTGCTTCAGATTCTGTGTGTGTCTCTCTCTGTCCCTGCCCTGCTCATGCTCTGTCTCTCTTTGTCTCAAAAATAAATAAAAACATTTAAAAAAATTAAAAAAGAATAAACATTAAAATTTAAAAAAAGCAAACATCTACTCAATAGGGTTAGAATTCTAAAGATCTTAATATTCTAGTAAATATAAATTTGTGAATCAGTCACTTTGCTCACGTCACTAGTACAGCATGAATCACTCTACCTAGTAACTTAAGTATATTCTGATCCATTGGATTTTGAGGTATTGAATGGCAGAAACTGTAGTTAGTTCATATTTGTATTTCCTGTCCCCATGCCTGCTTGGCCCAGAGAAGACAAAAAGATATTTGCTAAAGTTAAATGTTTCATTCTGAACTTAGAAACAGTAAGCCAGAATTTCATGACAGCAGTTTGTAGCAGCAACAATGTCAGGTGAAGCCCCATTACAGAGTAGGGGAATAGGGTTTCTGTCTTTCAGTGAAAACAGAGGTTAATGTGGCTAAGGAAGGTACCCGCCTTCTCTGTCCACTGGTGTTGTCCATTTCTTGAAGGGAGGCTAAAGTCAATGGTGGCTTTCTGATATCAATTTTTTAGGGCAACAAATCACCAAAGTCTTCGGTGAGATACCAAGGATGCAACAACAAGGATGAGATAACAAGCTGCTGCCTGGTAAGTAAAAAAAGCCACAGGCAGTGTGCACTTTCAGCATGTGGTTGTTCTCCAGCCAGTGGGATCTGATGGTTCTCAGCATCTAGGCGGTGCTAACGTAGCCCACAGTAGCCACAGCCTCTGGTGTTCGAGAACTAAAACACAAACAAGAAAAACACGCTCTGGACACTCAGTGTCCTCTGAGGGCTACTCACCTGGCGGTCTCCAGCGCAGGAAGAGTGGGAGACGGGCTAAAATATCTTCCGGGGGAGCCTGGTCCAGCCACGCGCGCGCATCGCTCCAGGCGGAGCCGGAGGCTGTGAAATACGCTTATATCTGGGCCCTGGGCGCGCCGCGGATTTCCGAGGCTCCGCCTTCTCTGCGCGCGCGGGGCGGCCCTGTGGAGGGAGGGCCGTCTGGTCCGGCGGCGCCTGAGTTAACACCGTGAGCGAGCCCGGGAGGGGCCCGGCCCCAGGCGGCCGCCCCACGTGCCCTCCGCCGGGTCGGGGTCTGGCGGCGCGCGGCCTTCCCGGGCGGTGGTGCCCGGCGGGCCACCCGCCCGCTTGCCGAGATGTCGCGCCTCACCGTCGTGTTTCAGTCGTGCGTTCTGGCTGGGCGGCCGGCTCCCGGTGCCGGGACGAGCGCGTCTCCCCCGGGAAACTCGCAGGAAAGGCCGCCCAGCGAGCGCGGACCCCGGCGGTGACGAGAACTCTGGAGAGGACGCGCAGCGCTGGCTTTTCTGGAGTCGGGAGTGCAGGCCCGACAGCCAATTACGAGGTTTAATGTTCCCTAAACCCACTTCGGGTTTTAACTCCACCTTTCAGCCGTGCTTTTCGAAGTGTCTTCTCCGATGCGGTGGGAAGATAGCATTCTCCGTTTGGGCGGCCAGTTAGGCGGGATTAAAGACTTGTCCTTCCCCCTTGTATCGCGTCTTTAACAGGAGCCCTTCTTACCGCGTTGTTGTAGATTTGAACCTTCCCATCAGCAGTTTCTTTTTCCATTAAAACTCCCTTCCATTTCTGGGTCTTCCTTTTCTGTATGTTTCCCGGCTCCAGGTAAGTGTGTGTATATATGCGCGCGCCCCGTTCGGGGTAATTTTCATTTCCTTCAGAAATAAAAATGGTCTTACCTAATTTTCACTTCTTGGCTCAATTTTAATCACCGCTTTTCAAGCAAGGGGGACAATGTCAAGTTAATATCTCCACCAAATAAAAACCACTCATTCTTGTCTCTCAGCCTCCTTTGTGGGCAGGACGGATGAACCTACGTTCTGTACAGTAAACTTCAGGGCATCTAACGTGATTATTACTGTATTTTCCTAAGTCGAATTCTTCCTCTCCTAAGGACTGGGGAAGTTTCTAGTGGTATCCAGCTTCCTCTTACCACAGGAATGAAATACAGTTTTCCTTTTGTTTCAGTCATATGGTCTTCATCGACACATCACCCGATTTGAATAACACGACTTTGGAGAGGAACACTGAACTTTTTAGTTAGGTTTTACCTGCACTTTTATTGTTTATAATGTTTTATAGTTTATAGTTGGATGAGAGCATGCAGTCTGAAGAAGCATTTGTTAATTAGAATTCATTTTCAAGAATTCATCATTTGTTTATTTAGAATTCATCTGTCATAGTTATACACACACCCGTATACTTGCTCACAGCATGAAGTACTTCATAATATACTTGTAAGTTTCGTTGTTCCACTACTCCACTTGATAAGAAGTTACAGCATTTTGAATATGATACACCAAAAACAAAACACAAAACAAAAACCCAAGTCATTTGGCCCAGCTCCCTTATTTCACAAACCAGAATACTAAAATCTAACATATATCCGGTGACTTGGTCTAGTCACAAACCAAGCGTTCTGTGATGCAGTTGTGGAAACCTGGTCCAGAACCCCAAAACAAATCCTGTATCAATGGACTCTTTGGGAATGCTGGTCAAAATATCCTTTGCTGTCAATTTTAACTTTTTTTCATCAATCACATAATACTCTTCCTCACACATAAAATGTTATCCTCTCAATGTCCATTTCAAAATTTTCCTTGTTAATATTAATATTAGTTGTTAATTAAGTTTCTAAGAGGAAAGACTAAGAATAACTGCTCCTTTATTATCTATATTTGCATCATACCATTTGGTCTTTTGAAGTAGCAACAAGTAAAAAACAAACATAAAACCCTAAAACTAAAATAAAAAGAAAAAACTTCCTAATAACCTCTTATACAATTATCATCCATGAATTTGCTTAAACTTTTTCTTGAAAAAAATTTTTTTAACCATTTCTTATTGAATTATGATTAACATACAATGCTGTATTAACTCCAGGTGTAAAACATAATTGAGTCAATAATTCTATACATTATTCAGTGCCCATCATGATTAAGTATAGTCCCTATACAACATTATTATAATATTAATGACTGTATTCCCTATGCTGTACTTTTCATCTCTGTGACTTACTTATAACTGGAAGTTTGTGTTTCTTAATTCTCTATTTCACCCATCCCTTGAAAATTATTTTAATTTAATTTCCTGTTATATGATTCATTTATATTTATGTATCCAGAGACTGTTTCTAAATTTCATGTCCTCTTACTGTCAACCTGGCATTTGGTGAAAAAAATCTACACTTAATCTATATTCAAACTGAAAATACTGCTGGTTCACTGTAAGTTTCTTAGGCCCATGCCAATGTCATTATTTATTTTAATAAAGATTTTTTAGTTACACTAAGAAAATAGTACTCAATTATGAGTGGTAACATCTGTTAAATATAAATACTTGATGATTATTTTTCTTTTATATAACAGATTAACAATATAGTTCTGAATCTAAACTCTTTTTTAATGTAAGTCACTGAAGCTAAATTCTTTCCTATCTTGTGTTCATTTATGATGGTGTAAAATTTTAAAATTAGAGTCCATGTACAGACCAAGCAGAATTATATGAAATATTTGAATATTGGGAAATAGAAGTAAAATACAAATACTTTTTTCTTAAAAACCTTCCATTTTTCAAATTTACATTTTAATTTTATATGTTTACAAATTGTGGTTGATGTTAAACCTCTTCATTTGCAGTGAGTTCATTATCTTTTATGTCGTCTACCTATAATGATTTCAGAAGAGGTTAGAAAGAGATTAATATATTTAAAGAATCTGACTCTTGTGAGCAAAGACATCATAAAAAGGGCTTGTTTTCATTAATAGGCTGTTAATAGGAGAGACATGATGGGTGAGTTTTCTTTGTAACCAGGTTCACTGTGGACAGGAACAGACTGCCTTCCCAGCAAGGAGATTTTAAAATCACAAGCTCCAGCCTCCATCAATGATGACAGGATTACCTGTTACGTAGGCAGACTGCAATGACAAACACAAGGAGACAGAACAATTAACCAGGTTTAACACAGGTTGTGTTTCTTCAATTTTTCCATGACTCAGAAACCTAAACAATATACTCTCATGGTAACGGAAATCTCACGTAACAAATAGATTTTAGGAAAAATCTGAATTAAATTTTGGATGATCTGAAACTGCTGCATGTTCTTGTGATTTAGAGTTACCTGGCCTCTGGCTAGTGTTTTAGCACATGTCACATTCTAAGCAGATGTTTGGTCTCAGAATCAGAAAATTAAGCTCAGTGATATGCAGCCATTCCCTAAATTAGGATAAAGTATAGGCTAAAACAGTACATTTTCATTTTGAAATTCAGAACTATTCTAAAGCAGCTGAGTTTTATGACATTAATAAACTTTTGAATGTCGTCAAGTGTGTTAGTCATAAAGTGGTTGTGTTAATTACCAAACAGAATTTTTTGTAGAAGATTTTGTATTTTTAGTTGATAAAAATACATAGGTGTTGTCAGAAGCTGAGGCACAGCAAATGTGTTTTAAAAATTTATATGAATAATAATTATATCTATTATATATAGATATATATATATTTAACATCTATGTTAAGTTAAACTTAAACTTAACTTAACATAGTTAACTTAAACATAGATGTTAAATTCGTGTTCTTATTTTTAAATTTATCTGAGGCCTGACACAATGGAAGAGGCAGGAAGGAAAGACATCACAGTATGAGTACAGACATTTTTAAAGTTCAATCTATGAAAACTAATCACATACTGTAGGTAAACTATCATCAACTCCCCAAAGGTTTTTTAAAAAGCAAACTTTGTTATACATATGGACGCCTTGGGGCTCCTCTAAAAGTCCAAAGGTCTTTTTATTGCACATTTCAAGCCAGAACATTTCCAAATATTTGGTAAACTTAAGCTCTGGCTAAACAAGGACAATTTAGCTTATCAGCAGTACCCCCCAATTCAAATGAACTCTTCTGCAGATACAGATTCAGAGAAACAACAAAAGCCAATGAACTTGTTCCATTAGTAATTTGTTTAGCAATTTCCCAGCTACTAAAAACTGCTGTTAACAGTCCTGAGAAGTGGTAACTTCGGTCACTAACATTTCAACCATTTGTTACATTCACCAACTAGCTGCAAGTTACTGTAAAGAAGAGCTAACAGATCAGTAACACACCTCCTCACTCCTGCCTATTCCCCCCCCCCCCCCCCCCCCCCCCCCCGCCGTCTTCCTCTCATCTCAAATGCTGCAGTTCCCTCTTCATGTAATATTCAAATACATCCAACAGAGGGGGGTGTTTTTGTACTCTTTACCTTATAGTTTCTGCTTTCCTAGTTGCATGCCATTTAAGAATATGCAATAGCCATTAAGGAAGAAATTGATTACTAAATAGGTGCAAAACAGAATGAGATAGAATTGGGATTTCCATATATGATAAACAAGAATTCACAGGAAAAAACCAGCCAGTGGGATTGTCCTAATTAAGTCACCAGTAAAACTAAAAACACCAAATGCCAATTCTGTGTATTCTAGACACAACTAAATCTGGTTAAAGCTCTCATAATTTTGGAGGTTCATTTGCTTGACTTACATTTAATTCGACTTTCCCCAATTATAATTTTTCAAAGCAACTGTCTCTCATAAAATTGAGCAATTTATTTTTTCAATCTTCCATGTCATTTGCTACAAGATTTAGTGACACATAGAGTTGAATAAGGAAGAGTTGGTGGCTCAGATCAAAGTGGCCTTTCTTTGAGCAAATTAAATTAGAATTGATCCCTATCTTGTAAATGCAACCTCTTATATATGTTGCAACTCTCTAAAATGACATTATTTTGATAAGCAAATCGTGGCCAAATGAGGAATAATGAACTCCCTGGGAAGAACAGTGCTTACTTCATCAGAAGCCAAATACACACAGAGGAGGGCTACTTCTTCTGCGGTTGCAAATCTTCCAGTCTTCTGTCTCTTCAGGAAAGAGCTCAGTGCCTGAGATCAGAAACCATACCAGATATCAGTGATAGGAGGTGAAGTCTGAATTCACCTGCAACTCCTTCAGGAAGTCCGAGGCAAGAGGAATCTATAGAGTTACCATTGGCTTGCTGCCTTGATTAATCATGTATGATACATGATACATGAGAATATCATTAATTGTGGACCAGGCAGGACTAGAATGACTTCCAAGCTACTCAAACTAGTAAAACCTATAGACACTGTGTCTATAATAAAACCTGTAGATACTGTGTCAGATCAAAATACATATTAAAGAGGAGAGCTTTAAAAAAATTTTTTTTGAAACTGTGGTAAAATACACGTTATTTACCATCTTAACCATTTTTAAGTGTATAGTTCAGTAGTGTTAAGTACATTTACGTTATTGTGCAACAAATCTCTAGAACTCTCTTTGTCTTGCAAAACTGAAACTCTGTACCCATTAACCAATAGCTCCCTGTTCTCTCCTCCCCCAGCTCTTGGCAGCCGCCCTTCTGTCTCTGAATTTGTCTACTCTAGGTAAGGAAGAGGATATTTTTCAACCAGAAGATTTAATCGCATTTAAAATAGTAGATATACCTCTTCAGGATTTGGTCTGGCTTGTATTCTTTCTTGTAGAGATGGGGTATCAACTGTTCCTAAATCAAAGGGGGACATTCAGTTTGGTTAATTACTCAAATTGAAAAAGAAGTTGACAAACTTTAAACTTCCTTTCCACATGATACATCAATGAAATCCTTCCCCATGACTTACAATGATAATTTCACCTCCGTGTTTAGGATTTCTAAAAACACAGACCATAGGGGTGCTTGGGTGGCTCAGTCGGTTAAGCATCTGGCTTTTGATTTCAGCTTAGGTCATGATCTCATGGTTGTGAGATTGAGGCCTGCATCGGGCTCTGTGCTGGTAACACTGAGCTTGCTTGGGATTCTCTCTCCTCTCTCTCTCTGCCCCTCCCTCCCTCCCTCCGTCTCTCAAAATAAATGAATAAACATTAAAAAAACACACACACAGACCATAATTCTTTGTGACATTAGGCAAGGACTCTGGGTGAGTCACACAAGCATCCCCAAGATATATTTTAGTCACATTACACTGCATGACTTTATG